ATCGACATGGACTGTTCATATAATACCAGTGATGTTATGTATGGTGAAGGCCGTGAAGGTGGTGAACACTAACAACTATACAGCAAGCATGTTCTGTCGCATGAAAAAACTGCATACAAAGCAACGCAAGCACCATATCTAACATTTCGTTGTCGTTTTGGGAAAGGTGTACTAACACACTATTATAAGGTAAGTAATAAGGTAAAATTTATTGCATGTATTTTTATAAGATATGACATTTTGCTTATTGACGCGTTAGTCATTTTTTTTGGTCCGACTTTACCTTTCTTTTTTTTCACCCCACGCCACTGGTACTTTGCGATGCGCGCATACTTTGCGACATCGTTTATAGGACACTAGCTGTTGACTTTGTTCGAAACGTCAAAATATGTAGCCTGATTCAGGAACTAAAATAAAACCAGCAGTTTAATTTATCAACAAAAAGACGTCTTCAGAAGTCTACAAAACAAAATCCCAGTCCTCAATTAAACTAACATATTAACACAAGTGCGCACAGTACGAAGCCAAAATAACGTGTAAGATAGATAGATCACCAACGCGTACGCCACTGCTACTACCTGCCCCCCCCCCCCCCCCCCCCGCGTACGTAGTTTCGAATTACTTGTCGCTAAGAGTGGATGGACACACAAACAGACAGGTTTTTTTTATTTTATTTCATTTTATTTAATTAGATAGCATGGAGTATATGTAACGTTTTTATTGAATTATGAAATTAAAAAAAGTTAGATTAGCTCTAACTAGTAGTAATAGTACTTACCATTTGATATATACATGTATCTCCACATTACCTCGATGTTACATATGCTAAATATGAAAAAACCCCAATATTTTCCCATTACGGAATTTTCCCTGGGTTTTTTCCCTATATTTTCCCACATTGGGGTTTTTTCCGGGTAAAATCCCATCTCTAAACATTCGAAACCTCATCTTATATTAGTAAAAAAAGAAATAAAACCTACTACAAAAGGAGTAAGCCATTTGAACATTATGTTCTAAAATAAAATCAAATAGCGCGCGCTTTCGCGACTTCCTGTTACACACTACCGTCCCATTTCACAAAATCACTCCCACGAATAGGGTATTTGACAACTTTTAGAAAACGATCTCAAGTTATTGACTAGTGTTTTTGGAGTCCGTAAAAAATGGATATTCAACATTCTGTTGTGGTTTTCAGTAAAAATAACCAAATCAAAAACTCCATTTTCAAGTTGCCGCGAAAAATTTTCTCTGGACAATATGGCGTCTTACTAGTGTGTGACGCCACACGACTGTTATTAAAACGCCAAACGATACTATGTAATGTCACTTTAACCGGAAGTTTACTTGCGTGTGACGTCATTTTAGGCCCGCCAATCCCAAGCGTTTTGGGTCACGTGACAATAGATAAGAAAAGCTATTATCTTTTTCGTGGGTTTTTAGTAAAATTATGATTTTTTTTTTTGTAAAAATAGTAAAAACCCCTGCCAAGTTTCATTCTCAACACAGATGCTAACAATTGGCACTTTATTTTTAATAGTGTCAAATACCCTATTGCAGGAAAGCGAGAGGAAAGATGTTACACATCAAAAAAAAAATAGGCTGCTAATGATAAATGACAAACAATCTATAATTTGCTAAATGTACATTCTCCAGGGGAGGGAGAGTCCTGGTGCTCTGAGATACAGGCTTTCTGCCTAGTTCAGACACCAGTCTCTCACAATCTATTTTATTGTTCTGATATAAAATTATACATAAGTTGTCATGTAATTTGTAGATTGTGGAAGAACAAATAAAGATTATTATTATTATCATAATAGTAAAAGAAGTACGTTATCTAAAACATTGTTACCGGCTGCGGGTGCTGCTTGGCCAGCTGCTTGAGTCGTTGCTTGTACAGCTTGTCCCGTTGCAAGAACGCCGCTCTCGAACCGCCCACAGCCGCTGCTACGCTGGCCGGCCTTTTATAAACATACATGCATAACGATAAATTGACATTTTCAGTGACGTCATGATGAATGAACAGTGTACAAGCTATCTTTTTGTGTACATTTCGGATCTCGAAAGAACAGACAAACCCGAGTTCATCAGAGTTATCGGACGTAAGAAATAGTTTGTTCTTACGTCCGATAGGGGCGCTGATAAATTTAAAAATACATCCTATTACAGCCCCTTGATTAAAATGAGCTATTCTTATAATGAAGTAGTGCGTAGTAGCAAAGACATCGATTTATTTATTTATTTAATAATTTATTGTTCACGAAATAAAAAATTCATAAAAAATACACTACTTAAATAATTACGTACAAAAGGTGTGGCTTATATTTCTTTAAGAAATCTCGATCGAAATCGATATATACAATGATAATTTTGCGCGTTATAGGAAGGTTATTTTCGACCTCTTTTTAAAATCAAGAAAAAAAGACAAGATCCCCTTGCACCACATTTGTTTTCTTCGACTTTTATCTTATTATATTATTTCCAATTGATTAGATAAGCTACAAAATATATTATGAATCGACCGTTATCTGTCTGTATACCATTTTCTAAAAATAAATAAATAGTGCCTGATGCTATTATTTGCCAAACAAAGACAAATCAAAATTGAAAATTGAATGGCATGATCATGAATTGCAGTGCCATCTTCGGCTACAACGCTACCTAGCACGGGCATTTTTTACTTAAAAGGTGACTTCAATTACTATTAAAAATAATGTAAACAGAACATGATATTTAAATAAATTCATCATCATCATCATCATCATCAGCCTATTAATGTCCCCACTGCTGGGGCACAGGCCTTCCCTATGGATGGAATAGGGAGATTGGGCCATGATCCACCACGCGGGCCCAGTGCGGATTGGCGGGTGCTAACGACTGCAAATGCAGCCGGGACCAACGGCTTAAGGTACCTTCCGAAGCACGGAGAAACTCAAGATAGAAGATTTTTGGTCACCCATCCAATGACCGAATACTGCGAAAGTTGCTTAACTTCAACGATCGCAGCCGAATGCGCTAACCACTTGCGCCATCGAGCTTCTCATCATAAATAAATTATCATCTTAAAGCTCTGGTTTATTATTAATAAACGAAGACTACGCTTGGATTAAATACTCCATGTTTTGTCTCTATTAAATAACAAATGTCATTTGAGTGACATGAACAAAACACGGCGTAACTAGTCTAAGCTTATTCCTTCTTTTATTAATGCGGGGGTTAGGGTCTAAAGTAGCGAGAGTGAATACGCTCAATAAAATCTTCTAAATGAAGATGAAGAGCAACCCCCCAATTTATAATTGACCCCTCACAAACATATAAATACACTGAATATCATAGCATGAAAAACTATAATATTTATATTTTTATTTATTTTTAAGCATTTAACTGCTAGATATTTAAATCTAAAGAAAAGTATACTAGAAAAAAAAATATTTATTTTTGTCGTGCCGTAGCCAAAAAAATTCATTTAAAAACTCACTTTGGTGATGTGGGTGTTTTAATCTTCGGACTTTTGGGTGTTTTAATTTTTGGGCTTTTTGGTGTTTTCGTTTTAGGACTTTTCGGTGTTTTAGTCTTTGCCTTTTTAGGTGATTGCCACCACCTTCTCCTGACGTCCCGCGCTTCCTCCTCGCTTATGTCAGTTAAATTCACCATTTTGACAATAATTTCTTATTTTAATCGAAATTACTTAAAAACCATTTCATTTATTATAAATCCACATTACACAGAACACAAATGACAAAAAATCATATATGAAAAGAAGAATGGCATACAAAAGACAGCCTTAACTCATTTTTAACACAATTTTGAATTAAATAAGACTTTACATAACAAGAGATATATAATACATATTGAAACTGTGATTGTTAATTAACTACTATAACCAATGTATAGTCATAAGGAAGTAAATGATAGACGAAAAGGAAGAAAACGATTTTCAACTTCAATACTAACGATTTAAAGTTCGATATACGTCTCTGTTTATAACTAACAAGTTAAATTTGCTGACATTTACCTTGTAGGATTGATATAAATAAAACCTCATGACAGAAGCAGTAATACCAGTATATTTAGTTGATAAAAATAGAGGATAATATTACATATATTGGTAAAGATGATTTGCTTCAGATTTTCTCAAATTGGCTCAAAAGAACCGGCCAAATTAAAAGTTTACGTCTTCGAAATGAAATGATGCATCAATGTTTGATGACGGTGATGATAGTTATATATAGATACTAGATCAGGTTAGGAACGATATGGGAAAAGAGAGAATGAAGGGAAAATGCAGGAATAAGAATATTGAAAACGTTTCATGATGTCCGTTAAAAGTAGTTCTTGTGTTTCTGTGTGAAGAAATTGCCAAGGGTGTAAGGAAGAATGAAGTGAAAATGAATAAATGATGATTTTGAAGAAGATTGAAATTGTTTGGACTAATTGCCCAATCTCCCTAATCTATCCTTAGGGAAGGCCTGTGCCCCAGCAGTGGGGACATTAATTAGCTGATGATGATGATTATGAAGTAGTCTTAGTATTCGTGTGAGTGTTGTGTGTGTGTTAAGTCATTTTCAAGACTGAAGGGGGAGAGAGAGAGAATGAAAAAGGGGAAATGAAAAAATGGTAATATTGATGTTTGATTTTTGAATGCTTTGTGAATTAGTGTAGTGACATACTGATCGGGAATGTAGCGCTGGGTAGTCTTAGTATTCGTGTATGTATGTTTGCGTGTGTGAAGTCATTGTCAGGGATAGGGGGGGAGGGGGGGGGGGGGAAGGAGAGAGAATGAAAAATGGGCAATTGAATGCTTGGTGAATGAGTGTAGTAACATACTGACCCTCCAGCGAGGTGCAGCACCCTCCTACCGACGTCCAGCGTCCAGCGTCCAGCGTCCAGCGTCCCGCCGCCATGAGTGCAGTAACATACTGACCGACAATGTAGCGCCAGTGCGCAGGCCGCCAGCGCCGCCAGCAGCGCGCCGTGCGCCTCCAGCGAGGTGCAGCACCCTCCTACCGACGTCCAGCGTCCAGCGTCCAGCGTCCAGCGTCCAGCGTCCCGCCGCCATGAGTGCAGTGACATACTGACCGACAATGTAGCGCCAGTGCGCAGGCCGCCAGCGCCGCCAGCAGCGCGCCGTGCGCCTCCAGCGAGGTGCAGCACCCTCCTACCGACGTCCAGCGTCCAGCGTCCAGCGTCCAGCGTCCAGCGTCCCGCCGCCATGAGTGCAGTGACATACTGACCGACAATGTAGCGCCAGTGCGCAGGCCGCCAGCGCCGCCAGCAGCGCGCCGTGCGCCTCCAGCGAGGTGCAGCACCCTCCTACCGACGTCCAGCGTCCAGCGTCCAGCGTCCAGCGTCCCGCCGCCATGAGTGCAGTGACATACTGACCGACAATGTAGCGCCAGTGCGCAGGCCGCCAGCGCCGCCAGCAGCGCGCCGTGCGCCTCCAGCGAGGTGCAGCACCCTCCTACCGACGTCCAGCGTCCAGCGTCCAGCGTCCAGCGTCCAGCGTCCCGCCGCCATGAGTGCAGTGACATACTGACCGACAATGTAGCGCCAGTGCGCAGGCCGCCAGCGCCGCCAGCAGCGCGCCGTGCGCCTCCAGCGAGGTGCAGCACCCTCCTACCGACGTCCAGCCTCCCGCCGCCATGCCGCTTAGTCGTTGACAAACTAGCCTCTCCACCACTACCACTTCCTAAGGGAAAGAGAGGAAACGGTTTCTTAGTCGTTGACAAACTAGCCTCTCCACCACGATCACTTCCTAGGGGAAAGAGAATAAACGGTTTCTTAGTCGTTGACAAACTAGCCTCTCCACTGCAACCATTTCCTAGGGGAAAGAGAGTAAACGGTTTTTTTAGGTGTGTATTCTGTTGGTCGCAGATGACCCTTCCAGCGTCACCGGGTTTGGGGACGGCGAGATCCTAAGGGGACCTCGAGCCGAGAATTGGCGAGTGCCCCTAGAGGTATTCCAGGCGAATGGCATCTCCCCGGGGAGTCTCCTCTCCGTTTAGACCCTCTAGACCACTCGAACCTAGAGTAAACGGCTTCAGGTAACACAGGCTACAGCGACGTATTATTGTAATCCGCTAGCGCAGTTAACAACGCACTATGTGCTTCCTGCGAGTAGGGTTACCATCCGTCCGAATTAATCCAGACGTGTCCGGACTTTTAGACTATAGTCCAGATTTTGTCCGAATCTTTAAATTATACGAATTTTTTTAATAACATTCAATATGATTAATAAAAGTATATATTGATTTAAATACCATACCATTGTTACTAAGTAAGGATATTGTGACTTAAAAGTGCTGACTTTTTTAGCAATGTCAAATTATTTGTCAAGACTTTTGAAATTCCTAATGGTTACCCTACCTGCCAGCTACAACTGGAGAAATGGAGATGAAAAAACCGAAAAATACACCCGTATTCCACGGTGATTTCATCTCCATTGCTCGCAATATTGTCATTAATATTACTTTAGCGAGTTCACGAATCGACAGTACACCAAATCGATGTTATGCAATATGGAGAATTCTAAACTTCACTTTTAAGTAAAATTCAATAGGTGATGTTACCGTTGTGATCACAACAGTGTAGTGCATAAAAAATATGCTTTAATTAGTGAACTATCGATGAAACGTATACCATAACATACCATAACGTAGATTTGGAGTATAGTATCCAATGTCTCAATCCAAATCATAAACTATAATAAGGTATTTGAAAAGTTTTAGAAAACGATCTCACATTATTGACTAATGTTTATGGAGTCCGTAAAAAGTGAATATTCATAATTTTGTTGTGTATTTCAGTAAAAATAACCAAATCTAAAACTCCATTTTCAAGTTGCCGCGAAAAGGTTTCTCTGGACAATATGGCGTCTTACTTGTGTGTGACGTCACACGACTGTTAATAAAACGTCAAACGATACAATGTAATGTCACTTTAACCGGAAGTTTACTTGCGTGTGACGTCATTTTAGGCTCCGCCAATCCCAAGCGTTTAGGGTCACGTGACAATAGATAAGAAAACTATTATCTTTTTTGTGGGTTTTTAGTAAAATTATGAATATTTTTTTGTAAAAATAGTACAATCCCCTGCCAATATTCATTCTAAACACAGATGCTAACAATTAGCACTTTATTTTTAATACTGTCAAATACCCTATTATGCGAACCAAATTTCATCCAAATCCGTCCAGCCGCTTTTGCGTGATCGAGTAACAACATCCCTTAACTTAACCTTTACATTTATTATATTAATAGGATATGTTTAACAATCCGTACTGGCTTTGCACGGGCATTTATTTTCACTCTATAAAATATATTATTAAGAGGTTTCTTAGAACCTGCTTCAATAGTTTTTGAATTTATTCATTAAAAACATACAAACATTACTAACTTTGCACGGGCATCTTTATTTAAACTCAATAAAATATATTACTTAGAGGTTTTTTTTTCAACCTGCTTCAATGGTTTTTGAGATTTTTCATGAAAAACATACAAAAATACATATCTTTCCTCTTCATAATATTAGTATTGAACTAGCAAACCAGTGAACCAAATGTTCACCAAAACCTGATTAAAAAAAAAATGTATTTAATTAATTGAGAACTTCGGAGATTTTGTGTGGTTTCGATTGAAATTCGTGATTTCTCGAAAACCGGAAGTGCTACGTTACTCAAATCCGGTTTGTAATCTTATCAGACTATTCTTAACTTATAACTTATATATTCTCTTTATCTATCTCTTACGGTTTGGCCGCTGAAACAGCACCACAGACGGACGGACGGACGGACGGACTTGTCTAATAGATAAGAGATAATATAAACCAAATCAAATCACTTATTCTCCAAGTAACATGGTACATTATAATTAACAGGTCTTTTATATTTTTATTATCCACTACAAGTTAAACCAAAATTTCAGGCAAGCAGAAGTTTTGTAACTTTAAGACTGCCTGAATTTATCATCATTGGCATTTGATAATTCCTTAATTAATATGATAATTCAATGATTACCCAAATTTATAGTACTGCTATACGAGATGACCCTGCGAACTCCGTACCGCTATATAATTAAGGGTTCAGTGTAGGAATGTAAAAATTTAAGTTTTGTATTATTTAATTTCAATAATGCCAACTCATAAAAATTACAATAATTTTCGTATGGACCACCGTTAAAACTTAGGTGTATGAAAAAAAGTTTACGTGCTTTTCTTAAACCTGCTGAATATACCGGTTAAGCCGTTTCGGAGGAGTTTTATTTTACAAACACTGTGACACTTGAATTTTATTGAAGTGAAACTTCTTTAGGCAAGCTTTACTTGGGGGGTAAACTGGTAAATGCATTAAGAGTTACGCGTTACGATTACTGTCACCGATGACTCATCGGTAAACAATGAACAATTTAGGCACGCTTGACTTGGGGGGTAAACTGGCTAATGCGTTACGCGTTACGAAAATTGTCACCGGTCAGTACAGATAGAGCTAAAGCAGTTTCACTTCAGTCGTGTGGTCATAACTACACTCGCTTTTTTTTTTATAGATTTACCTGTGCTTTATCCACGTCGCACTTCTCCAGCAAGGAGTCTTCGGGTCCATACAACGTTCCGAGACCGACTTGTCTTTTGACTTGAAACTCGCTGAGTTGTTGGCTCAACTCTTCTTTGGCTTTCTGTCTCGCTTTACGGAACACGTTCCGTAGAAGCTCTTCTTTCTCGTATTCTAGTGGGAAACGTTGTTTTTGGTCAAGGTATATCTTTATAGATCTAAATAACTTTTGTGCTAAAACGAGATCGGATGAAAAACATCGTAGGGGCGTAGTTAAACAACTGATGTTTATTGGAGTTTACTCCTTAAGAATCGATTAGCATATATAAGGGGCCCGGTATGAGAAAAATGTGAGGAGTAAAATCTATCGATGAATGACCTCGTTACATTTTTGGTGCGCATCCTATGTCGCGCAACTTTGACAAACAAAGATGACGGATTGACATTAATAAAATTTTTAAAATCTGAACTGAATTTAGATATTGTTTCTGATAGAGCAATGGGAACAACGAGGTATGGTACAACCATTGATGCGGTATTTTCAAGATTCGTGAACCACGTATCTATAAACGTCCATGTGTCTTATTTTAGTTACCATAAACCACTTGTCACTGTAATTAATAATGCAAACAATGTTGATTTAATTAATATTTTAAAAAATGATAATAGTAGATAATAAAAAGTTTAATGTAAAATATTTCGTAGATTAGTTATAATAAATGTATATGAAATGAATAAATATATATTTATTAATTTACCCTTTCATACAGTATCAATCTTTTTTAAGTTAAATTAACTCTTTTTGCATCTGGTTAGACTATTGAACTTAAGGAGTAAACTCCAGTCGTGCGTCGGAGCTGCCACACACAATTTTTTTATACATATTTTTAATGTGTAACTTTTAATACATACCACATTTTATTTTGGTTGTCTTAAGCGTGTCGTGTTACATCTTTAATTTTTACTCAATAATTCAGAGCTTAAGAGAGGGACTACGTATACCTGGATTGCATTATCTCTTGAAATTTAAAGCTATTTAAAACTATAAAGCAAAAAATAAAAAGCTATAAAAAAACACTTTAAAGTTTCAATTACATCGTGATTTCATTTTTTTCCATAACACTAAATTAAAAATTGCATTTTATTGTTATTTGAGACAATTTTTCAATGTTATTATTCTTTTAACCCTTACACCAAACATTTTCCACCAAATACATTTTCATCCCACCACCTCGGAAAGTGTAATTTTGCGCTTCGAAATCTGGCTGGAAAATTCTATTTTATTCGCTTGAGCGGCAAAGTAGATTTGAATTTAGAACATCACATATAATGAGTACTCAATATAATTGTAAATTCAAAACGTCATTAAACCTATTTAATGTAACCTCTATGGTGCCAAATTTATGATTAGAACTTTTTAAATTGTGAAAAAATTTAAATTTGGAACCTTCTTGGTTTCTTTGTTTTATTTGCGTGCTTCGCGCCATTCTAGTTTTTCACGTTTTATTGCTTAAATATTTTGTCATTATAAATTGTTTTCTTTTTCATTTTGTCATTTCCTCGCTGAGGTGGGATGAAAAGTTACGTATTGCACTCGAGTGGAAAGATTTTTCACCTTGTGCTCGTTTGTTTCCCTCGCTGACGCTCAGGATTCTAATTTAGAATCACTCGCTGCGCTCGTGATTCAACTTTAGAATCCTTCGCTTGCTCGGTCATCCAAATCGAGCACGCGGTTAAAAAGGAACTTTCCACTCTTGTATAATAAATAACTATTTTCTGTCAGTTTTCGATCTGTGCGGTTGTGTAGATTGCATACCGGTTTAACACAAATAAATAATTATTACAAAAACCATTATTATGCGCGTATCGCGGTGCTTTTGCTAAGAGGGATATTAGCCTCGTTTTTATCACGCTCAATTTTGTAAATTACTATGGATTATGACAGTTAGACGGATAAAAAACTTGATACTGTCACAAACGCTCTGCAAACACAACCGCGATACTAGAGACATGATTTACCAAGATCACCGCAGATCGCGATAAAGGTCGAGTGGTGCGGCTCATTCTAATATGAGCCTTATGCAGTGCGGCGTAAGGGAGAAAGTGCAACGACATCTGCACTTGTTTACAAGTTATGCGCGTTACCTGCGTAGGTATAATTAGGTACTATGCACTCGCGGGTGCTAGTTAACTCTCAATTTAACTAACGGGACTTCTCTAGAATACGTCGATTGGTCAATTTGACGGTTGAGTTTCAGCAGCGATTTCGGAACGAATAGAACGGCGATCTAAGTGCAAGTAAAGTGTTGAAGTGCGATTGTTTTAAGACTTGTATAGTAAAGTACAGTGTTTAGTGAGTGTATTGTGATTAACCTTGTGTGTTAACTGTGCGGTGAAAAAGTTCTGTCAAGCGTGAACTGGCATATAATTTCGAACCCCATGCCGACACATAACAATATAATATAAGTTGTAGTGCTCATACTAGAGGGGCAGGATTGAAATCTTTGTTCAAAGCAAATGACCTTTTTCCTGAAAATCCGAGCATGAAAACTTAAAAATAGCAAAACTTCAATAAGTTACTCTATAAATAAACGAATTAATACTTACCATTAACTAAAACATGTTCTATTTCGTTCGCCATATTTTCGTCGACGCCATTTAATTGTAAAACCTGCAACAAATATAAAATCATAGGTGTTAATTCTGGTATGATTCTTTAAACCTAAAAATAAATTTTACAACAGGGTATCCTTATCATTCTCTGTACATAATGAAAAGGAGATACTTATGTTTAATTTAGTTTTTACTAAAAAAAATATTGACTATCTGAAAATGAAACTAGTTGATTTCTTTTAAAAAATCAATGAGCAGTTTCGGAATATGTGATCTTTATTGATACAGCACTGTCTTTGCTACATCTAAAGCTTTCTTAAGCTGCAATGCAGCGCCATCTCTTTGCATTGCAGATAACCCACAATGTCAAATTAACACCTTTACAAGTATTTAACATTTGAAAGATTTATAGTCATATTTTTTTATGCTAGATGTTTAAATCGAAAGGTTTTCTTTACATGTTTAATACTTGTAAAGGTATTTACATGTTTAATATTTGTAAAGGTATTCATTTGACATTGTGGGTTAACTACAATGCGAAGAGATGGAGCTGCCTTGCAGCTTACGGGCTAGAAAGAATTCGACACGGCCATAAGGGCCGCGGTAGCATAATGGTCAGTGCATTCGCCCGGATAGCGAAGGCTGCGAGTTCGAGTCCCATGTGCTGCCTGGTCCGCGTGGAATTATTTGTAGTAAAATTTTCTTTGGATTTAAACATCTAGCAGCTACATGCTTAAAAAATATAAAAAAAACGATGTGGTGTCGTGGGACACCAGGTAGGAACGAAGTTCTAAGCTAATGTAGAATCGACACAAATTACAAACTCGTTTGTGTATGCGACTGTCGCGCCTGCGCACGTCTCATTTAACGGTTTTATTCCACGCACTTTTTTCCACGGATTTTTTCTTACGGTTTTACTATCACATTTTTTTCAGTTCGGTCACGCAGCAATATACCTATCCCCTCCAACTTCGTTCCAAAAAATTTTTTTATTCATAAGTATTTTTTTTGTATATAAGATGGTCAATAAAGACTTTTCATCGTTTCATTTTATTGCATTTCCTTACATATACTTATCAACTATTTGGATGCACTCATATCAGTATATATAATAATACTCACCGCAGATGGTATGAGGAAGGTGGACTGTATCTCGTAGGCCCATCGCCTCAGCGTAGCGTTAGACACTCCCGCCGCGTTTCGGTACGCGTCCGTTAATATCAACAGAAGGTTGGCGCACGCGCATCTGAAACCAAACCAGCAGGTGAGAAAATAAATATTCATGAACCCTGAAAACATTGTTGAAAAAAATCTCAAAACGCCATTTATTTATTATGATTCCGTATAGGGTTGCTCGATTTACGGGATTGTCCCGGAATTTTGCGTGTTTACCCGTGTCCAGTAATTAGACCTTATTGTCCTCGGATTCCGATTAGTTTCGTAAGAAAATAAACATAATAAACTTATAACGAATGACACCTGCTTGATGTTTTAATTCTGGGGGTTGATGGAGGGTTTGATTTTTGCAGGGAGGGGGGGGGGGGGGGGGGGGGGGGGGCAAAAATAGACCTCTATCTGTCAAATGTCGCTTGAAAAGTACGATTTGCAAAAAAAAACTTGGAACCCTTTTTTAGCACTCTGCTATTCAAGAATAAAAACCAAACATTTATAAACAAACAATAACAAATATTGATAATTAATATCGGTTAATATTTTTTTTTACTTTTTGAGCTTTGGCCATGTATGGTTGATAGCCTAAATCGTCAACCAAATGTCACTTTAAGTTGCGTTCAGAAACTCGATTTCAATCTTTCATTTACATAAAGGACGCATGTTCGTATGTGACCTAGTAATAGTGCATGATTATTCATAACTACTCCGGCGGTAATGCAGAGATGAGCGGAATAGAAGAGCTAGATTCTGATTAATGTTTTTTCTCACAGTCTTAATAAATAAATATTATTAAAAATGGGGGGTTTTCTTCTCAATCTTAGTAAATAAATGTTATTAAAAAAATCTGATGGCTTTTCTAACTTAATCTTAGTAAATATTTTTTATTAAATAAAACCTTTTTTTTTTTGCTCACTCTACCTATTTGGTCTGAATTGACAGCTATGACATCACAATATGACGGCCAGGCGGTCCTATTTCTTAGTTGAATCGCATTATACACTTTGTCGTTTACCCGATTCCATTAGCACAGCGTCGGGCTAACGCATCATTAGGAATCGCAGTATAAAATAGCGAGGAGCTCGATGGCGCGGGTGGTTAGCGCGTCCGGATGCGATCGTTGAAGTCAAGCAACTTTCGCAGTGGTCGATCATTGGATGGGTGACCAAAAATCTTCTATCTCGAGTTCCTCCGTGCTTCGGAAGGCACATTAAGCCGTTGGTCCCGACTGCATCTGCAGTAGTGAGCACCCGCCAATCCGCACTGGGCCCACGTGGTGGGGCATGGTCCAATCTCAATATTCCATCCATCGGGAAGGCCTGTGTGGGGACATTAATATGGTGATGATGATGATGATGATATAACGCGTGATACCTCCTCTCCCCCAGCAGCCAGTTGAGTAAGACAGCAGTTCGCGCGCGCGATTCTCGCACAGAACGCAGGTTCGAGAACAAACCAGAGTTGTCCTGGAACAACAAATACACATATCAATAAAATTCTAAGCAATACGTATCATTTTTTCTAGTCATATTTTCTTTAGATTTAAACATCAAGCAGTTACATGCTTAAAAAAACATTTTTTTAACTATAATTGCTATTCTTTCTTTCAAATGTTTAATACTAGTTAAAGTATTCGTTTGACATTGTGGGTTACCTACAATGCGAAGATATGACGCTGCCTTGTAGCTTAAGAATGGCTAGAAGAATTTCGACGCGGCCATCAGGGCCGCGGTAGCATAAATGTATGTTTTATTATTTGATGACTCGTAAATTTTGCAATAATTAAATTGGTATACAATATTTTTTCAATACGTTTACTTAAAAAATGCAAAATTACGGGCTACACGTCGGAGCGTGTAGTAAAACATTTTACCGCACGCTCCTATACATGGCACCTTGCGTATCCTTTACATTCGTCTGCTCTTTTTGTAATAACCAACTGACCGCTCTAATATCATAAATATCTATTGTTCTCGAAAATATGTTTAGCTGAATTTAAAAATAGAAACTTTTTGGTTGTGTTTATAATAAATACTACTAGCTGTGCCCCGCGGTGTTACCTGCGGTTTATTAGGGATATTTTCCCGTAGTAAAACGTAGCTTATGTGTTAATCCAGGGTGTCAGCGAACTCCAAAACAACAAAGGCATACATTAAAAGAGCTTCGAAGAAGGTTCTATCGAAATAAAAAAAAAAGAAAACACGTCGCTATGTATAGGAGCGTGCGGTAAAATGTTTACCGCACTGTTGCATGGCCGGTAATTTTTAACTTTCGAATAATGTATACAACCTCTGTAAACGATGTTTTTGAGCTAGTACATATTATATTTGTTTCTTAGGTTTTCACGCACATCACTCATTAAATAAAACTAGTTTTTACGGGTTAATGCACGAAACTTTATTTATTTATTGACGTTTCGTAGCCTTTACAGGCTACGTCGTCAGAATTAAACTTTGAAAAGTCAATAAATAAATAATGTTTTGTGCATTAACCCGTAAAAACTAGTTTTATTTAGTACATATTATGTTGAAAAAAATAAACTCACCGAGGCTGGCGAGTCGTCCTCTTCCATAGAGATGATCGCCCGCTGTGGATCGGCGCAAGGCTGCGATGGGAAAATTACCATTCATCACCATACGATGAGAATATTAATCATAAACATTCTTTTGGTCTTTCTGTTTGATGATATATATATACTTCTATTCCGCTGAATAGATCTTGAGGACTTTTACTGGTACTTACCGGATACATCATAGACTATTTCGTTATTGTGAAATTAAAACTACAAAGAGTACATTAAAGTTCCTTAACATACAAAAAACAAACAATACATATTTTTAAGTAAATTTAAACAAGAGAATGATTTAAGTTTAATTTAACAAGGTATTAAATTAACTAGTAATTTAAATGTGAGTATCATATGTGTGTGTTTGCATGGGTATATGTGTATGGTGCGTGTATGCATGAGTGAGTGATTAAGTCATGAGGAGTGTCATGTCATCATGCGTGCGTATTATTTTTTCTCCTGGTCGCGTTCGTGTATCCTTTTCCTTTCTATATCGTTCTTTATCTTCAAAACAAAGTGTGTGATGACTTATATCAGTAATGTAGTTACCTTCGTCCGATATAAACATGCGAAGACATTATAGTGCGACAACAATATGAACGCGAGTTACAGTTCAGAGAGGGCGCCACCGTCTACGTAAATGATGTGCATTAAATGAGGTTTATAAAGACGGCGGTTCCTCCGTGTGTTATATCAACATACCTGTGTGTTGTGAGCGTAGGGCGGGGGCGGGGTCCCGGGGGGCGGGGTCCCGCGCCACCACCCCGCCTCCAGCGACACCGAGGACCCCGACCCGGGACCCGCCACGGGGCCCGCCACGGGGGCGGGGGTGGGGGGCAAGGCTGCAACAACACGCGCTTCCTGACTATCACATCCTGACGCATGCAAAAAGAGCTTACTGACTGTATCCTGACGCATACAAACAGGCCAACAAGAGAGATAAAGCATAGCGGATTTTCCGCTTGAATCGGAGCGCCCGTATGTGGAAACCTCCACCTTCCGGAAGACCACAGTGAATAAACACTACCTTTTAGTAGTGTGTTGTTTCTGTCAAGCCACACAAGGTTATTTTTTGGTATTCTTTACACACTCGGCTTATATTATCATACGGAACACTAACTTTTTTGAAAATACTCTATAGCCTATGTCCATCACGGATAATGATAATGAAGAATTCTAAATGTGAAAAAATTTTTCAAATCGATTCTGTAGGTTCGAAGCCTATTCAATACAAACAAACAAACATAAAGAGGAAATCTCTTTGTAATATTAGTATAAATATATGAGTGATGCGTGCGCTGCTCCCTTCCCACACTTGCACACTCTTTTTTTATTCTCAAATACACGCAAAATACATAATTGGTGTCGATTCTAGCATAATTCTCTTATCCTAAACTTAAATTTGACAGCAGTATATCCTTATCATTCTCTATACAGAATGAAAAAGAGAGTTTGATGTTAAATTTAATTTTAAGTTTAGAGAATCACATCATAATCGAAACCAATATCTAATTTTCCATCGAAACAATAAATGTAACCACTCACGTCTCTGCGTGTCCGTTTCCAACTGCTCCGGCGACGACCGACTCCGCATGTGCAGTACGGGCAAACTCGACCGGTTGTCCGTCTGTCCGTAAACATGATAAATAGTTACATATTATACAACACTTGCAACCTACCTACATATGCGTAAAACCTGGTGTACACATTTAATACCGGGCACTTCACTTGGCTATTCGTGTTTGCTATTCGTAAACTTGACATCAGTCCGTCCTTATCATGCTCTACAAGGTATGAAAAGAACAGACTCATGTCTGTTTACAAATAGACAAATGCTGTGGCAGCATTAGGTGTTTGGATCAACGTGTAAATGCCAAGGCTGGGCCGCCGATCAACTTTCGACATAATTTTACCTGTTTGAAAAGTATAGGACAGTTTTATTCATACTATTCTAGACAGTGATCATTTCATTTAATCACTCACTCAAATTGGCCCAATGTGTACAACTGGCTTTAGGTTGGTGCATAAATATATGCTGTTTATATATTGACACATTTTTTGTTCGTGACAAATATTTTACTGTAATAATACCATAATAAATATATTTTTAAAATGCGGTTGAAAATAATCAAAACAGCGATTTTAATATTATCACGTCCGTACATGTTTCATACAAAAAGCCGATAATCATGCACCAACACTAAACGATTACCATATAGCAAAAGGAGAACATAGAAGTAGGAAAGAAATATGGAAGAAGTATACAAAGATTGTGATACAAATTTGTAACAGAGTCGACTGAAACCTTTGCTCAATCATCTAAAGAATATTTATGTCCCCACTGCTGGGACATAGCAGCGTATAAAGAGAAGGGATTTTATGTAATCTTCCTACTACGTGTCCTAAACACAACATCAATTTGTGGTCACCCATTCGATATGGCCTCTGTTTCATGCATTAGTTTATTATAATAGCCCCGTGATACAAAATTTTAGTGGTAAGGTTAAATTGTGTCATATTTAATCTTAAAACATAATTAAATGTAAAATTATAAAACAAAACTGCTACTGTTCATATTAATAAAAATGTTATTGGAAATTTATTTATTTAAAAAAGTAAATTAATATTATGAACGCTGTTATTTCTGAATTATACCGTAACCGAATGCATTTATAATTATTCTAGTTATTTTAACAGTCTTGCCTGTTAACTCTGCTACAAATTCAATATCTTTAGAATCGGCAATGAAATTGTCATTGGATGAGCATACACATATTAAGTAAGACATATAGAAAATTTTTTAGTCACAAGATCAAGGTTAAGACAGAGAAACATGGACAGTATTAAAACATATAGTTTAATAACATGATCTTAAAATTAAATTTATCCTCCCTCATATTTTAATTTATTATATTTATATACATAAAAAAAATTCTAAATCTAATAATGTTTATAAATGATCTGTCGTGAAAAAAATAAAGGTGTGATGATAAAAAAGCTACGCAATAACGAAAATGAAATAATGCGCAGATCTATCGTAAATTTAAAACTTACCCATAGTTCAATTAAAATATGATCAATATTTGAATTTCCAAATAACACACTGTGAAACAAATAAGATTATTTATACTTTTTATGTAAATCATTAAGTTTCAGATAAAGTACCGATTGAATATCACTCAAATAGTATTAATTATTAACCAATACTCGTTACTTGAAGCTTCGAATAAGGTAAGTATGTTCAATAACCGTTTTATTTTCAGGTACAAAGCTTCTATTAAAACTATTTTAAGAAGATCTATCAAATAAAAACAGTATCATTAATTTGGAAATACAAATTTTCCTTACAATTTAAAATTTGGATCGTGGAAACTCTTTAAAGTAGCATATTTTAAATATCATATCAATTCCATAAAACTTTCAAAGTAGGGTGTTCGTCTACATCTACACTGATTTCTTAGGACAGTTTTTCTTCAGACCGTATTTTTTTTTGTTAAAATATTTAATCATTATCATAAATTCAATTAAACACCTCTACATTTGAATTTTTCACTCTAGACTATTTTTTTAAACATGGTGGTGTGATGTTAAGCGGCCACCACAGCCGATGGGCGCTTTCGATATTAAAAACCCAATCCCATACCCCGTCGAACTTTCAAACATGCTATTAGACTTTTCAAAATAAACCATAAGACGTTCCCATTGAAAATTTCCACGACCCAACCGCATTACCTGTATCGGCGGCGGCGGTGCATTCACCAGAGGGTAGTTCATCTGCATCGCTATGGAATTGGGCTGCGGGCCCGGGGCGTCCAACTCGCCGTCCAGCGAGTGCGACGACCTCCTCAACGCGGCCGGGTCGTAACCCAACTCGGGCGGCGTGCCTCTCAACTCGGGCGGGTTATCGCGCGTCGGGGGCAACGACCGGTGCATCGGGAACGGGCGCGGGTTGGCCGCACGCGGGGGCAACGGAGGAGGGGATATATTCGAAACGTTATCCAAACAAGTGGTCGGGACCATTGGAACTGTGTTATTGTGCCGGCGTTTGCCTTCATCCGAGTTGTGTCTCAATAAGGGAGCGGGATTGGGGGCGGGATCGGGGGCTCGGGGTCGGTTTTGCCGCAGGTTTCGTAAACTATGGCCGGTCAAGTTTGACAGGGAGCGAGGGAGACCGCTCAGGAAGCCCGAGTTGGGTTTGTCGTTGCGCGCGCGCGGCGATGGCTACGAGGATATTGTATACGTACGATACGGTGCGTGAACCACGGTGTAGATACAAAAAGATGTTGCTTGTGAAAAATGGGAAGGACGGCGGTCATATTGGGACTAAATATATATTAAGGGGTTAAAATGGAGGGGGTCTACGAGAGTTACGACGAATGGGAGGAGTCATTGATTTCGCGAAAGATCCACATCTAACCGAGACGTCATTTAGTGCTTTAAAAGTGACTAAGCTGTCTTTTTTTAGTCAAATCTCGAGTAAGATCGTTTCTGATAAATATCTGACGTCCCGATTGAGGGGAAATCCCCCAAAATTGCAATCAAATCTGTGCCAAGGAAGACGGAAAAAATCATGAAATTCGTGAGATGTAATACTTATAGACAGATAATCTCTTATGTGTTACATTTTGTTTTCGATGTCGCTCTGATTTATTTGTAGCTTGAGTTTTCTTTGTGACACGCCCACAAAGGCCTCCTCATCTTTTTTTATCTATTCCGTGGTACGATCAGTCGACTACTAACTAATGCACTAAGCTTCGTGATTCGATGAACAATCCGACAATTCTACAGCATGTGATGCTTCTAAGAAAATAGAGTAGTTGCTTCTTCATTATATAAAATTATGTCAAAACAAATTATTGCTTTAATTCCAACGTCACTGTAATAAGTGGAGGCAAAGAAAATATTAAGGCAACTACCCTATTGTTGAAAAAACACATGATAGAACAATCATACGGATTTATCATTCACAATGTGCACTGTGATATAAACAGTTAACATTTACCCTTGCCCGATGAGACGAAAGTTAAATTTTTACTTTAAACATTATTTTTAACCCTGACCGATTCTATGTACTTCGCTTGTCACTTAAAAACAAAACATTTTAAGAAAGATATGAAATAAATAAAAAAATATTATAATTGTTCTCAAAAAAAGCTTGCATTGAACAAAAACTAATTTCGAGTTAAGAATCTATGACCATTCTCCTGAATTTCAAAATCCAAAGAAGACCTACATATTCAACTGTCTCGACTTAAACTCATACAAATGATATTTTTCATTCGTGCTTGCAATTTTTAAACTTATATATAAGACTAGCGGACCCAGCGAACTTCGTACCGCCCTAAAAAATAGGGGTTGTCCAGCGGAGAAAATTGTGAATCTAAACCATTCTCAGATCCCCTTAAACACACACAAAAAATTTCATCAAAATCGGTCCAGTCGTTTTAGAGAAGTTCAGTGACATACACACTCACAGAAGAATTATATATATAAAGATAAGCTTTATTGTACTGTTTAAAACTAGACAAAGTAATCTGGACAAAATTGTAACCATTTTACATATTAGTTCTGAAGCAAAAGGTAAAGCCCATTCTCAACACTACTCATTAAGACTCCTTTTCACTGCATATTTGATATAATATAAAAAAAACTTCCCACAATACGGAATATGCACGATTTTTCATAGTTTACATTCCCTTAATATAGTGTAAAAATACTCAAGGTTGATAAAATAGTGTACGTAGTACGGTACTCGCGGCTCAAAAGTGATCCGCTTAAATTGTGATGCATGACCACAATTCGCTTTAGTCACACTTGGACATTCAAACACGCTGCATGTGCACTCAATATAACGAGATTGCGTATATTTTGTATTATAAAGATAAAACATGCTTTTATAAAGACACGCTTTTATAAAATTAATAATAATAAGAGTAAAATAATTTAATAATAAATTAATTTAAATTATAAATATAATAGTAGTAAATAAGAAGTAAAATTAGGAATAATGAATAATCCACTATTTATAATTATATTTATGGAATGTCCATTGCACGCTAATACAATTTACTTTGCTATGCCCAAATGGGTAACATAATTCGGTCGATTATATTATATACCTACCATCTTTTGTACAATTATGATATGCAATAAATGTTTGACTTAAAAAGAACACCAATAGTTCAAAATCAAACAACAAATCCCTCGGCAACACTTTTCATTCGTAAAACTGTAAAATCATTTTTTCTCAAAAATCACGATTTACCGTGAATGTTATTAACGTAATCGCCATTTTGTTATCAAGAGAAGGACAACAATACAGCTCAGTCGTTCGGAATCTGACGCGGACTTGCCGTTTCGCTCGCGCTACGTTGAAGCACACAAGTGGAAGCTAACGTACGACCGAAGCTCGCTCGCTCGAATGAATGTTCATATACAGACGTATGCGTGAGTGAGAGTTGCTTATGTAGCAGAGTCGGAGCATATTTTATTTGATGCTAGTATTAGCGTACCGTATATTCCAATTTTGTTTTAATCTAAGAGTGTAATGTGTGTAAAAAAAATAGCCACTTTATACGTTCATTTTAAACGCTCGCGATTATGAATCTCTTGGTGTGACGTCACGGTAAAACAGAGAAGACCACAGTTAGATAAGGAGGTTAGGTGCGCGCGCACTATGCACTAGGTCTCGTTTGACTTTGACATATAATTTGTTGATTAGTTGTTATGTATTTCTACGTCCCAACCACTCTGTCGCATTTCAAATATTTGAATTTCCCACAAGTTTTTCACACATTTCAATAATTAATATCTTGATCAAAAATAAATCTTAATATATATAAATCTCGTGTCACAATGTTTGTCCTCAATGGACTCTTAAACCACTGAACCGATTATAATAAAATTCGCACACCATGTGCAGTTCGATCCAACTTGAGAGATAGGATAGTTTAAATCTCAAATTATAGTCGCAATTTTAATTTATTGCAAATTATTACTTTTGGGCGGTACGAAGTTCGCCGAGTCAGCTAGTTGTATTATTAAAAAAAGATCGGTGGAGAGACATTCAAAATTAAAAGGGATTTTATAAAACAATGAGGCTTATTTGAATAACATGCATATTCCTTAATATTGCACTTAGACTTAATACAAATGTGAAGCTTTATATAAATGAAGTAAGAATATAATTGTAGGAGAATGGACTCTGTAAGATATTTACCTAGGTACTTACATCAAACACAATTGGAGTCTAAACGTTGTTCAAATGCCAAGTTACGAGTTGATATTACTAATTCCCTTTTCACCTAATCAAATATATAAATATATATCATAATTCGTATCGTGTTTCGGACATCACAGAAGCACACAGAAGCAGACAAGTGTAAGTTAAGTGGTTACACCCGTTGTTACAGTGATTATGGTTAGTTACGTGATGCTCTAATGGTTGGTATTTCACTTTCGCCTCAGAATGCGACGCTGGGAAGAGATGAGAGATCTATCAATTGACAGAACAATAAAAAAAAAACATAACAAAATCTAAATCGGATAAATATTTAATAGTTTTTTGAAATGTAACACATTTCATGACAGACCGGCTCTCAAAAATATCTATGGAAAAAAAGAGTGACAGCGATTGTGGCTTTTGTTTTCCAATTAGTATTCTGAAAACTACTTCAAAACCAACTTAACAAATAACCTTCACCACATTTTCGTTCCACGATATTCAATAATGAGAATAATCTTTATAACCATCTACAAGATCGATTCCCAGCAACGCAGTACCAACATTCATGAGAAAAAAAAACACAAACATGATGACATTAAAAAAACCATAATAAAAAGTGAACTAAACTGACTCGCAACAAAGTTGGCCAACTCAAAAACAAAACAGTAATGATAATATTAACCAACATGATAGTGAAACTCTATGATAATCTGTTGTTGCCATATTTGCATATTCACTTTTTGTATTCAATTTTAGAGTTTTCATTAGACATTGGTGGCACACTTGCGGGGGTCTTAAGGGTCATAAACAAAACACTTCAAACAGCATTACCTCAACCCTTTACGAGGTAATAAAACATAAAATTATAAAATATAAACTTGGTACTTTGGTGTTTAAACAAGAGTTGCTAAATACTTTTAAGGTAATAAGGTTTACAATAGCTTAGTCTCAACAGAAACATCTCTATCATGTGACACGTAAGGATGATAATTAAATACCCCTGAAATTAGGATGAAAATCCCCATCGAATTATCTCGTATTTACAAGATATTTATTTCACATCATCTTTCTTATATTTTACTAAGAATTTTATTGATGTCTACCCAAAAAAAAATACTTCGTTTACCAAAAAAAATCATTGAATTAACAAAAACTAGACTCCTTATCCCATCCATCACTTAGGCCCGTATTACAGAATGACGACTAAGTGTTGATCTTTACTTGAGTACAGTTAGAAAGGGATGTCGCTATGTGCTATATATAGCGACATCCCTTTCTGACTATGCTCAAGAATGTAGTCTTGAGCATCACTCACTGAGAATCTTTCTATAATACGGGCCTTAAACTGTTTAATTACCACATATAATTTCATAAAAGTGAATGTGCAAATATCGTCTCTACAGCCTCAGTAATAAGGCGAATAATCACCTGCAAGGACATCCCACCTTACTCTTTATTCTACAACAAAGTTCTAAAGTGAATGCGCAAATATAGTCCTTATCACCTACGTGATAAGATACGACAATCACCTGCGATTACACTTTATACTACAACAGCTTTTTAATGTGAATGCGCGAATATGGTCCTTACAACCTAGGTAATACGACAGATAATCACCTGCGAAGCTGCCAACGCATCGATTTCGTGCTGCAGCTTGGAGCAGCGCAGTTCTGCGGACTCCAGTTGTGTCTGTTTGCGTACGTCTGGCACTTTACATAGCTCGTCTGGGGATAAACGAAATAAATAAATATTTCTTACACACCAATTAGCTATGCCCTAATGATGGCTTATGTTTGTTTCTTAGGTTTTCACGCACATCACTCATTAAATAAAACTAGTTTTTAGGGGTTAATGCACGAAACTTTATTTATTTATTGACGTAGGCTACGAAACGTCAATAAATAAATAAAGTTTCGTGCATTAACCCGTAAAAACTAGTTTTATTTGATGGCTTATGTTATGAAATGCCCGATATTTCTTCATCTTTTTCTGTACGGTGGGTGTTTTCCGCAACTCTACACCAGGTGTCTATTTTGCGTAAGAGGATAGCTTTAGTCATGCCATCCCAACTCCCCCAAGAAGCTCAGCAGTCTCTTGGTGTCCCCGCAGGCCTCAAATTTATGTTGTATTTGTTTTTTCAAAGACAAAGATTACTTTATACCCGATAAATTCTAGGTTGAATCCATTTCAACATTTATTGCGGACTTTATTTTTTGTGGGGATTTCAAAGAAATAAGTAATATATTTTTATTTTATTTTTAAGAATTTAACTGCTGGATGTTTAAATCTAAAGAAAATTTTACAAGAAAAAATTGCACGCGGACTAGGCATCAGACGTGAATCGAATCCTCCGCTATCCGGGCGAATGCACTGACCATTATGCTACCGCGGCCCTGATCGATTTTTCTCTAGAATTTCTTAAGCTGCAAGACAGCGCTATCTCTTCGCATGGTAGTTAATAAGTTAACGCACATTGTCAAATGCATTATAGACCTTTTAGGTCATCATCATCATTAGCCTATTAATGTCCCCACTGCTGGGGCACAAGGGAGATTAGGCTATGACCCACCACGCGGGCCCAGTGCGGATTGGCGGGTGCTAACGACTGCAGATGCAGCCGGGACCAACGGCTTAACGTGCCTTCCGAAACACGGAGGAGCTGGAGATAGTAAATTTTTGGCCCCCCATCCAATAACCGACCACTGCGAAAGTTGCTCAACTTCAACGAGCGCAGCCGATCGCGCTAACCACTGGCGCCATCGAGCTCCTTGTAGGTAGAGTATTGTAATTTAAAAGCGCCAAAGCTGATTCCCAACTATCAAAAACTAACTATAACGCCGACAAATTCTCGGGCGGCAAGCTAGTAGCAGTACATGTTACATTCTACGCATTGTTTACCCGTAATAGTAACACCCAAAACATCAGTACATAATATAGAGTGCGTTGCACCGGGTGATTCACGGCGCGTCTTAATAAGCAGCGCGCGAGTTCCGTGCCAATTAGGGTTCGTTACGACTAACGCCATTGTGCTCCTGTACTTTGGAGAAATGCTTAACTTTTAAACAATTAACACGATACACCTTAAAAGTGAATGAAAAGTGAACATTTATTATTTCTAATGAACCGATTTTGCTTACAGCTTTACTCAGACACGTCAAATTTATTTTATACTTCATTAAGTCACACTCGCCAAATTCTGGAGAAGGTCATCAATTATCGTCTTATCCATTACTTAGAATCAAATTGCCTACTGCCTGAAAACCAATTTGGGTTCAGACAGAATAAATCTACAGTTGATGCAATTGATGACCTAGTTTCTCATGTAGTGGAGAGTTTAGATAGGAACTTGAAATGCCTCGGCGTCTTTCTGGATATGGCCAAGGCCTTCGACACTGCTTCGATACTATTGCTGCTTTGCAAATTGGAAGAAATCGGTGTCCGGGGTCTGCTACTGGATCCGTTTAGGGATTACTTGTCGTATAGATCTCAGTCCAATAAGGTTGGTAACGCTTTCAGTTCAGTACAGCCTATAAACTATAGTGTTCCTCAAGGGTTCGTACTTGACCCCACACTGTTCTTAGTTTATATTAACAATATCTGTAATACAAAATTGGTGAAGTGTAGAATAATCATATATGCAGATGACACAGTTTTGCTTTTTACTGATAAGACATGATGGTAATGGTGTGAGAACAAAAGCTGAGAGAGGTATGAGGAATATAATCAGCTTGCTGAATAATAATCTACTAACGCTGAATTGATGAAAACCAAATACATTATATTTTTGATTAAGTCTGTACAAGATTCATCAATATTTATCCACATATACTTTAGTGATACGTGCGCTGCTCTATTCCCCGGTGGCTTATGCACTGTTTAATGTAAGGTTATTTAATAAAAGAAGTTTCACTTTAGATGGGTGGTCCGTGTACACTATTTTTTTTTAATTCCAAGTAGGTCAGGAATCATATCGTTCTATAGTACATGAAAGAATATGAAGTGTACTCACTGCGCAGGTCGCGGATGTACTTCTGCTCCTGCTCCAGCATGAGGCGCATGGTGTACACCTTCGACACCTCCAGCTGGCGCTGCTTCTCCGGCTGCAACACGTTACAACACATTTCATTAACAATAGTGTCAATATTTTTATTACGACTTAGCCTAAGAAGAACCATCAAAATCGGTCCACGCCTCTCGATATGCGCGAACAACCATAAGAAAATTATTACCGACGAATTGAGAACCTCCTCCTTTTTCAAGTCGGTTAAAAACTACCAACGTCAGTTTGTAATTAGAAATGAAATATTTTTTGTGATTAGACTAAGGAAAATAAATAAATTGGGTAAGGAAACAATAATGAGTAGGATGAGATGGGACACGTCATACGATAAATATGGAACAACCCGGCTTTGCAAATTAAAGACGTTAGACCATGTGTGGCCTCAGACCGGAAGAAGAAACGACAAGAAACGCAGCAAGTGCTGCTTTTTTTTTAATCAGCGCTAGTTGCTCATTCCGGTACTTTTTGTACTATTACCTAGCCGTACTCTTCACATTAACGTTATGTGTCATGTATAAAATAGGCCTTGAGCCAAAAGGGGCGAAGGCCGAGTTCCTATATTAGAGCTCAATATCGGAATCACGCATATCACTCCGCGCGTACACGCTCGACGAGCGGACGTTTGTTAAACAGTTGCTATCAAGTGAACGGACTCGATCAATTATTTACAAAACATTCAGCGTAGAAGTATTCTAATTAATATTATCCAAAATAAAAAATGGTGCAGTGTAGAAAATGCAAGCTTTTTGTTTCTGTGACAAAGGATGATATAATAAAGTGCAAAGGTCAATGCGAGTCGGTATTCCATAAAAAGTGCATAAAAAATATAAAACAATTTTTACAAGATGAAATCTGTGATGAGTGCAAACAAAAAGAAGGGAAAACGCCCATCAGGAAGGAAGGCGCGCCGACTAACATAGGGAATATTTCCTCTGAAGCTATCCTCTTGGATATTAACAAAAAACTGGATATAATATATAAGCTCGAAAAACGTATTGAAGAATTACATGAAACAGTAGATTTTTATGCTGAACAATATCAGAAAATGATGGAATTTAGTACAGAAACAGAAAGAAAGTTAAAGGCGATGGAGCAGAAGAATATATACATGGAAAAATGCAATGGTGCCTTAGAGGAACGTATACAGTATTTGGAGCAAAAGGAAAGAGAAACAAAGGTGGAAATTATGGGACTTGAGAAGCATGGAACTGAAAACATACAGAAAATTATAGAAAAGGTAGCTAATATACTAGAATTGAGTGCAGAAGATATCGAAGAAGCAAGAAGGGTGGGTAGAGAAAAAAATAAAGGAGGTAAGCCGCAAGCTGTAATAGTTAAACTTCGCTCAAAAACAGCGAGGGATCGATGGTTAAAAGTTCGTAAAAATACCCCTACTAACGGAGATATATACGGCAACGAAAGCTCCCAGCGTATATATATTAATGAAGATTTACCCAAACAGAAGCGAGAAATATTCTGGGAAACCAAAAATCAACTAAAAGGGTTATATGACTTCATTTGGGTACAAAACGGAAATATATTGGTAAAAAGAAATGAAGACGAAAATAAAATATATAATATCAAAACATTAAAAGATATAGAAGTACTTAAATACAAAACAAACGCAGCAACATCATAAAGTGCAATATAGCACGGAATGTACACACTATATGATTTTATATATGCTACAAACTTTAATGAATAAAACAGAAATAGAATCAGAAATACCATTTAAAAGGTACAAAAACTTTTACCAATTTTATGGGGAAATGATTGATGGATATATATATATGATACATTTAAATATAAGATCTATGAGAAAAAACTTCAATGAATTTATGGTTCTACTAAGTCAATCAAAGAGGCAAATAGATATTATAATTTTGTCAGAAATAAATGTAAAACAACAGGAAGTAATGATATATAATATAAAAGGATATGATATTTATTCTCATACTAGAGAAGAAAGAAGAGGTGGAGGTTTAATAATTTATACAAGAAAAAACTTGAGCACTACTATGAAAATAATAAATATTGGGTCGGCAGAAGTTGTACATGGAATAATAACTTCAGAGAAAGCATGCACGCATATTGTTGCTATATATCGGCCACCCAATAAGAACAAATTACAATTTATCAGAGAAATTGAGATTCTTATGAGAGGTTTTCAATATACAGACAACGTATTTGTCATCGGAGATATAAACTTAGACATATTGGGAAATAAAATAAATCCCACCATAAACAGATATAAAAACAGTTTGTGTGTATGCGGCCTGCAGAACGTTATACCGAATACAGAGGTAACGCGGGAAGCGGTAGTGAACGGGCGCCGTGAGATGTCCTGCTTGGATCATGTATGGGTGCGAACGAGACAGACTCGCGGGTACTGCGTGAGCGTCGCTGCGTACATTATTGACTGCTTCATATCGGATCATCACATAGTTGGTATTTGTGTAAGCACAGGTATGAGTGACAAAATACAATACACAAAAGATCAAGTGAGTGTGTTTGGTCAATTGCGTTACTCATTGTCTCAACGACAAGTTAATGATGGTTTAGTATTGTATGACTGGAATAAACTTAACGGATTAAACTGCCCCTTAGTGTTATATGATCATATATGCAATGTGTTCAAGAGTGTGTACGAAAATAGTCAGAAGTTACAGGTGTTAGGTAAGAAAAATCTATTTAAGCAACCGTGGGTTGATATTAAATTATTAAAAATGATTGAAAAGAGGGATAAATTGTTTCGTATATGGAAAGCATCTCCTAAAAACATGAATAAGCGGTTAGATTATACGCGGTGTAGGAATAAGGTAAATAAGTTGATTTTTTATGCAAAAAATAAGTACAGAAGGGGTCAAATAACTAATTGTAATGGTGATTATAGGAAAGTATGGGCGCATATTAATGAATGGACTGGACAGGTAAAGCCAAGTTTAGATAATGTAATAATTAAGCACCTAGGAAAATCAGACAATATTTCCAATATTTGTAATAACTTTACGACAACTTTTACAAAGGAAATATTAGAAATTAAACATTATTGTAATATAAAATTTATGGACAGAAAAACATATGTAAAAGAAAGTAACGTCACATTTAGATACAGGAAAGTGAATGCGGTACAAGTGGAAAGAATCATTAGAAACATAGATTGCCATAAGGCACCTGGGGTAGATAAAATAAGAGCACAAGACTTAAAATATATAAAACAGAAAATCTGTCCTTTACTAGCCAAATTTATTAATATGTGTATTGAGCAAGGAACTTATCCAGAGCAATTAAAAAAAAGTATCATACGTCCAATACACAAAAAAGGTAGTTATACAGACTATACTAATTATAGACCAGTAGCAATATTGTCGGTAATTAATAAGGTGATGGAAAAGGTCATAGTAGGTCAAATTACAGAGTTTTTAGAAAAGCATAAGATTTTACATGATGCGCAGCACGGTTTTAGGAAAGGAAGGAGTACTAGTACTGCTCTAAACTACTTTGCTGAAACTGTAAATACGAGTCTGGATGCTGGACTACAGGTTCTCGTTCTTTTTATAGACTACAAAAAGGCGTTCGATACACTTGATCATAATATGCTGCTTCAAGCTATGAGTGAATGTGGAATAAGAGGACCCATGAATGAATGGTTAAGAAGCTACTTGAGCAAGCGAACTATGTGTACAGCAATATCAGGACAATTAGGAAAAGTGGCTAAAGTGGAGCTGGGTGTACCAACCGGATCAGTCTATGGGCCAGTTGGGTATATCATGCATGTAAACAGTGTGGCTAATGTTGTCCAGAGATGTAGGGTTTGTATGTATGCAGATGACATGTGCCTCATGTTTGCATCTAATAATCCAAATGAATTATCAGAAAATATCCAAGAAGATCTAGAAAATATCACTAAATGGGCACATGATAATGGAATCATTATTAATATTACTAAAACTAAATATATGCATATATACTCACCTTATAACCGTGCAGCTAGGACAATGAATCAGGACACATTTAGCATAATAGGTCACTCTTATGAATGTCTACATAATATGAAATGTGCATGCAATTGTCAAAAAATAGAAATGGTAGAAAATTTCAGATACCTAGGCGTAGACATAGACCGAAACTTTAACTTCAAAATGCATATAGAACAGGTTTGCACTAAGCTCCGAAATGTCTTTTGTAAATTTTATCAGTTAGTGAAAATATTAGACAGACGGACACTACTAATGGTATATCATGCTCTTGTCGAATCTTTAATTAGTTATGGTCTTAGTGTATATGGGCGTACTTATAAAACATATATAAACGAGATAAAAAATATACAAATAAGGTTACTGAAATATATAGTTGATAAAAACACAAGAAAAAAATGTAAACAGGATTACAGTAAATTATACAAAGTATGTAGAATATTGCCAGTAGACAAGAAAGTGGATTATTTAATAGTAAAAGAAAATTATTACAATTTGTGGGATAGACCCCTCATTGTCAATAGGTATAATACAAGTAGTGTTAGGGAAAGGAAGTTTATTATACATAAAGTTAAAAATAGTTATGGGATGAGAACAAATAAATATATAATACCAAAAATTCTAAACAAATTAGAGTGGGTAAGAAAAAATAAGAATGTTAGCATACATATATTAAAAAAATCCTTGAAAGAAATTTTACAGAAATGAGAACACATTATTGTTATTATTATTTTGTATTATTATTTTGTATTATTATTATTATTTTGTATAAGCAAAAACTATGTATCAATAAGTACTTAAACATTATTTTCACATTACATTGTTAATCTTCACAGTGAACCGCTTGATATTTTGTAACTAAATATTTAAATCAAAATCTCTTTTTTCAAATTGGAAGCATAATAAAACTCTTTTTAATAATGCGTAAAATATGTATTTGTAACAGATAGTCACTTTAAAATAGCTTAGACATAATATGTTAACAGTAGCTTATAGTCATATTATTTGTAAGTTTATAACAGTAGTATTAGTTTAACATGATACTGTAAGGAAAACGAGCGTTGGCTTGCCAACAACCTGATGTTTACAGGTTGGCAAGGTATTAAAATATGAAAAAAAATATGTATCAATGATTAAATAAATAAATAAATAAAAAAAATAAAAAAATATCGTGGTTAACTCATCAAACTCGAAATCGATACCGAAAAAACTTCTTATACCTATGTGTGTTGAAAATCTGCAAGTAATATGACAAATAGGAATAAAAAAAACAATAGAAATGGGAATGTTTATTAAATTAAACAAAGCTAGCTAAGGCTCCAACAGAGATTGCTTTTAATCTGGCCGCTAAGAAATCAGTGTCAAAGACAGCGCTGTCATAACTACCAACTTTTTGGTAGATCTACCAATTTTCACTTCAGTCTACCTATCTACCACCCTAGACCTAAAAACTACCAATTTTTCAATTAGTTTGACATAATTATCACCGTTGCGATCTATTGCGAGAGCCATGCAACGATGCATCAAGCATCAATAGAGTCCAGGCCATAAACCACAAAAAAAAGTCAGCAACAGCTCGCCATGAGTTCGGCGTTCGCACGATTTCTGTACTATACTGTGGCCTATTCCCGGTTAGTTTGTTGCGGAATCAATGTTGAATCTTTGCTCCTGTTTAATTGTAAAAACTAATTAACTGTGTATTAACGGTGCTGATTGCTGTTTGTTCTATGTTGCGTGCATTTATTTATATAATGGATTCTGACAGCAGCGAAAGCGATGCACATAGTTCTAGGTTAGGACCAAAAATATTCGAAATTATGGGAGAAAACCAGGGAATTTGCAGGTTGGCTTCAAGAAATTACTAAGGGTGACGGATATTTTGATTGCAAATCATGTAGGTGTGATCTGAAGTGTGCTCTGCATTGCATTGCATGCATTTTTAATCTTAACAAATCTTCTAAATTGAGGTGGTAGATCTACCAATTTTGCATTTTACATTCTACCAACTTCTACCAACATTTGGCACATAATCTACTAATTTTCTAAAATTCGGGTTGGCAGCACTGGTCAAAGATACTGTGGGATAGAGAAATTAGCATATGAGAAGCATTTACATTTTTGGTAGGAACTAATTTTTTTTTTTATAGATAGGTCCGACAAATGGCTCCACCCCACCTGATGTTAAGTGAAGGTGAAGTCCAGACGCGAAGATAGCTGATACAGCAGTTTTACCTGCCACACCAGCCATCCTCACCCTGCCGGCCTGCATGTTGCTTCTTCACGCCTCTTTTAAAGGATCCCAGGTTGTAAGAGGGAAGGAACACGTGAGCGGGCAGAGCATTCCATTTACGGATAGTGCGACAAAGAAATGAGTCACCAAATTTCTTTGTACGCGTTGGAATTGTTATAGTTGTATTGTATTGTACGTAGGCCAGCGCGAGTGGTCCTCTGAAGGAAAGAAGAAGGTGGGATAAGAGAGAATAACTCCTCAGAACACTCGCCGTGGTACAGACGATTGAACGATAAACGATATTTATTTGGCTAGACCATACCTAATGCCATGCATCAGCTCAGAAGAATATTTTCATGATTACGATATTCCGAGATTCATGCCCTAGGCATACTACATGGCTACGAGGGGTGGCAGAAGCTAAAAAGATTCGTTACAGATAGATAGAGATATCAAAATACAGTTTGATTTGATTTACTAATTCTGGGGGGGGGGGGGGGGTAATAATGCGCCCCTGGTCACAGCGCTTAATTTTCTTTTGGTAAATGAGATCTCAAAATTACGTCGCCAAAGCTGCGTACAATCGGAATGATAGCTTGAAATGTGTGAAATACATTTGTACACATTGTTTGAGCTCGGTGTTAAGGTCGTGTGGTTTGCCACAAACTGGCATAGTATTCGTAGTATATGACATAATGTATACAGCTGGCGCAAGGCCTTGGGGAGATGAAGCTGGAAATTTTGTGAAATTAAAACTCATTTTATCTACACCCATTCTTTAAAACCTCTATTAATTATTTTGAAACAGTTAGCTTATTGCCAAACATTAAAACGTCCAATGCTAATAAAAATAAATATAATACAGTAGGCCCGCGGTAATCTGGACCCCGTCTCATCCGGCACTCCCTGAAATCCGACACGCCTGTTACTGTTGATTGCAGATAAACTTAATTGAAATAGATTTTTTGATTTCTACTTTGCCGGATTACATGGTACTCTTATTCCAAAAATTGCGGACTATAGAAGGCGGTCTTAGAGAATACTCTATAAGCCGACAAATTCGATAATCCGAGATCGCCCTGCAAAACGTTTGTCACATTACCGCGGGTCTACTGTAACATACAAACGGGTGTTATAATGTTGAACTAAATTTCATAACAACTGTACCCCTAGCATGAACCATTATCGAATTTGAATAGTTTGCAAACCAAAATGTCAATGTCAAATTTTGTATGGAAAGTTGAACAGCAGCGGCACAAAGTACGTAACGAGAACTAAAAATCAGTACACATTTGACAATGACATTTCGGACTCGCATACGATACGAATTCGATATTGGTTCATGCTAGGGGTACAGTTCTTCATTTTTTCGATCCCTTCCGCGCAAAGGACTCGCACATCAGACAGCCGCAATTGCCATTAGTCGATGCGTGGTAGGGTACACTTTATAGTGATTGGCCCTTTAAGCGGTATTATTCATTTGTTAGTCTGTAGTAAATTCATTATTAGTTTTCTATTGAATATACCTAGTTCCACAATGCTAATAAATGAGTTAAGTAAATGCTCAATATTAATATGTAATTACATATTTCAAGATCAACAGAAAATGTTGCAGTGAACCTCAGAAAGGATGCAATTTTCAGTCTAACCTCAACTGAATTAAATGCATGCTTACATAATGGAGCGGCAAGCATGTGCCAAATATCTAAACCTATATTGTCGCTGAATTCAATAGTCACTGGTTACTGGTTAAGTCCTCGACTTCACGAATAGTCACTCGCGAACCGAAGTCCTGATCCGGCTCGAAGGACCATGAAAAGGTTTTGTCTGTCCGCTCGATGATTAGCGTCCAGATCCCTTCCTTTCTTGGTAATGATTGGTATTGAGCACGCGTCCCGTTAATGGTAGCTAATTACGTACTAAAATTATTTCCCTATTTTATGTATAAAGTGCAAATTGCTGCGCTGTTCGTTTGCGTAGCACCGAACAGAAAAAGCTTCTAATGTATAGTGATTGGCAAAGAATAACATCGATGGATTTGAAAAGCACCGTGATACTGTGCTGTCTAGTTAAAATGTGACAGTCGCAATATCGTACGGTGAATATTGTAGTTTAATAACTGTTTGAGCCCTTTTTCGGTCAGTACTGCACATAACTAAATCCTAACTACCTATTTATATGGGTTTGTACATATAGCTGTACAAAACTGGTTTTTTAAGTGTCCGAATTTTATCAGTAAAAATAATATTTAAAAGGGTCCATTCGGATACTCTGTCCGTATCGTCAGCTACACAATTTTAATATTAAAAACAGCGTTTTTCCGTTTACCAGATCATCCTCTACAATTCTTAAATAGTCATCTGATCAATTTTACCACCCTCTTACTATATTTTAAATTTAATAGCTGTGTGAACCTAGCTCCCGACTTTGCACAATCGATTTTTTGATGTGTAACATCTTTCCTCTCTCTTTCCTGCAATTTGTGAGAGTGATTTCGTGAAATGGGACGCAAGTGTGTAACGGGAAGTAGCGAAAGCGCGCGCTATTTGATTTGATTTTAGAAAATAATGTTCAAATGGCTTATTCTTTTTGTAGTAGGTTTTATTTCTTTTTTTTTTCTATATATAAGGTGAGGTTTCAAATGTTACACATCATACGCGACTACTGTAAGGCTCGCTCGTTTTTTTGTGATGCTTAAGGATTCTCATGATTGTAGTAACAATTATTTCGGGGAAAATCCGTATCAATCCGATTCGCCGGTACGTAATTTTTGACGTCATAACGTCATAAATCGATGAATACCGGTCAATCGTATATAAAAAATGTTTAACATATATACTTACATTTACAGGCACAGGCGCGGTGATGGGCGTCTTGTGGCGAGATGTGTTCTGTTGCACTGTGAGCACTGTCGCTGGGCTTGCTGGAAATTATACAAAAAACGTTTAGTTCACTACTCAGACCGTTTGCCACATTCTTCATTATAAGACACCCTTTTCACCTTTTCTCTTAAAAGTTACAAAATCATGAAACATTTTATTACATAAAAAAAATACATAATGTGCATACATAAGAAAACCTGGTACCCTAGCAGACGGGGGCATTGATAAAATCTGATGATTAGGTAATTTACTAGTCCTTGTATGACAAATGACTGATGTCTTCTACTCGTATCATCTGCACCGCATTTACAGCTGCTTTAGTCACTGCTGCATCTGCTGTTGTTAGCACCCACCGAATCATGTGACCATGACCAATACTCCCTGTTCCATCCATAGGGAAAGCGTGTGCCCCAGCAGGGGGAATATTGACAAACTGATGGTGAAGCAATCTTCTGTTTCTTGTTCAAGAAATGCGTAATTTACCTTGTATTATCTGCATTACCCGCAACTTTAGTTGTAGCTGTAGCTGCTGTCTGTAGGACTCGTCAATCTGGACCCATTAATTAATTTTCCCTTTTCTATCTTTTGGGAAGATTCTTGTATCAATAAGCTTTGTGTTCCTCATCTCGTATCATCTACACCACCAGCTGAGGCCAGTGTCGATGCACGGGTGCTGACGTCGAAGCGCAGGAGGCTATGTCCCAACAATGGGGACATTGATGAACTGATAAAGAGGTATAATCTGCACCACCTCGGCATAATATGCGCTAAAAACCCTGCGAATACCTCTAAGCTGCATAGCGCAAAGCCGCGGGATCCGTATTTAGGGATTCCTCCGCGTATCCGCACCTAGCAGCCTCCCAGCCTAGCTGGGGCTCCACGGCAGGGGTCTCCCGGGGTATCGCGGGGACCCCGCAGACGTGCGCAAGATGGCCCGCGCATGGGGGCTGAGTACGCGGCCTAGTGCCCACCGTCCCGCCCCCCGTCCGCTGCGGAGGGCTACTTGGGCGTGCCCGTGTAGCTCCCTCCACCATCCCCCTCTTTGCAAGACAGAACTACAAGGGGAGGCTGCCGTCACGAGGTCCGTTGGTGGCCGGCACAGCTGACGCCATGCCGGTCAGCGACCCCCCGGGTAGGGTCATGGGACGGGTGCAGCCAGGCGCGCCGCCGTCCTCTCCTACCCGTCCTCCTTTGGCGGGAGGGAGCGGCCAGGGGATCATCCTCCCGCTCCCTCTCAGCAGCCTTCTTCTGCGAGATAACGTTCTCACAGAAGGAGGCGACCACCTCCCACGCCCACTCGCTTCGGAGCATGGCGTCCACCATGCTCCGCAGCGAGAGGACTATAATTTGCACCACCTGCACCTTTGTTTGCGGCTGCTGCTGCTGCTATCGTTAGCTCCAATATATCCGGATTTTCATGACGTTCTCCCTATTCTATCCATAGAGAAGGAAAAAAGAAAGCCCCAGCAGTTGGACATTAATAAGTGTGAGTCACCTCATATTATCTATGCCTTTAGTCGCGGCTCCAGACTGGGATAGCGTGGTGCGACACGGTTCATTCTTCCAACAAGCCGTACCAAGCCCCGTAGTCTTCTTTGGTATATTTTGGTTCTTTGATGCGTTCTATTCTATCTATTTCCACCTAGCTGTGGGGGCATTTTGCTGGTCCTAGTATTATTAAACGTGGTTCTCACCTCGTATCATCTGCACCACCTGCTGGTGCGTGTGCCTGTGCACAGGCACGGCGTCGACGCGCAGGATGCGGTCGCCGGCTCGGAGGCCAGCGCGCCACGCGGCGCCGTGCTCCTTCACCGACTGCACGTACACGGGGTTGTCACCTGGGTGAACAATACCATACCTTAAACTGGCTTTGAAAGCATCTAGTCCTTAAGCAAAGGGTCCAAGGACGGCAGTTTAAACTTAAAAATTATGACTCTTACTGGTCTTTATGTGCTGGAAATTGCGAAGTTTGTTGGAAGCAACGGTCATTCGTTCTTACAATCAAAACAAGTGACTACCAGAAGTCTGAGATATCCCCACAAACTTGTTCTTGATAAAAATCCAAAGACCAAACGTTTCTTAAAAAATAGTTACGCAATGTGTAATGTAATATACAATAAAATACCACATGACATAAAAAAAAACTACCATTTGACATGTTTCTAAAATCATTACGGAAATGGTTACTGGAAAAAGTTTTCTATTCAATTGACGAATATTTAAATTATATATGACATTCATCTTATATATCTAATTAAATGAATTGATGTATGTATTGGTATTGCTATTAGTTTTGATTATTATCCTATTGAATATTAATATATACAATTTGTTTTTATTCTATCTTATTACGGATTATTAATGAAATTGTATTTTTATTTTGTTATTGTTTTTCTTACAAAGATAAAATATTCTTTTTGCATGCTATATCATATGGCTAAATAGGCTTAAAGCTACCTTTATATCTTTGTTAACATGAACATTTTAATGTACCCACCCTATTTAATGGCAACTAAAGAATTTGAATTTGAAATTTAAACAGTAAAATTTTACAGTTTTGAGATAATTTAAATTTGTTTTAATTCGAACTCCTTCGTGCTACAAAAGGAATATTGAGCCTTTTATCCCGGTGCCATCAGCATTCGTTAGCACCCACTAATCTATCTAAAGACGTGGTGAGTCATGCCTGTTCTATACATAGGACAGGCGTGTGCCCCAGCAGTGGGGACATTAATATGCTGATAATGATGAAGACGTTACCTGACACCTTCATCCCGTATCCGTGCTCGTCGCGCGCCACGGTGACGGTGAGCAGGTCCTCGCCACCCGGCGACGCCGCCCCGCCCAGCATCACCTGCGGCAAGTGAAACCACTGTCAATATTACTCCATACTAAGGAAAACCACTCGTCAACATGATACAGTGAAACCTGGTTAATTGGGATCTCAAGGGATCCCAAGACATATGTACCAATTATTTATTGAGGGTATCCAAAAATCCAGTTTTCCAATTAAGCAGGTTTAAAAATATAGTTGTCTCATTTACAGAGGCCCCCGCTTACAGAGGTCGAAATGTGCCGTTATTCCCTTGTTTTTAGGTCAAACCCTGAGATAATACTGACAAACAAAGCATGCGCGAAAGACGACGCGAAATGTATGTAAACAAACATGGCAAAACGTGTTACAACCTGATTAATTAGTCTCACTTATACAGGTAATTGAGCTACAGAGTCTCAATTATAGAGGTAAACATCGATAGTCTTCAAATCTCATTTAACCAGATTCAAAAAGTCCCATTAACAGAGGTAATTTAATGAAAAAGAACCGGGTCCTCTTTGCAACTCTCAATAATAGAGGTTTCTCACTTATCCAGGTCCCACTTAACCAGGTTTCACTGTATATGGCGCGAGTGATATTTTTGTATCGCAAGCAGTGTGTTGCCAGGACCGATTTTTAAAATTGGGGTAGCGTTATAGAAAAAAACAATAGATGTATGGAAAGAGCTACAAGAAAATGGTCGATGCAGAGGCGTACTTTTTCCGACCCCCCTAGAATTAGTAAATCAAATCAAGATAAGACCACTAACGAATGACCCCTCAAAGCTGTTTTTTGTAGATAATAACAGAAAATCGTATTCTAAGAAAAACAGGAGATTTATGTTGAAAAACAGTAGAACAGGAGAAATTACAGAAAAACAGGAGATCTACTGTAAAATCTGGAGACCTGGCAACACTGATCGCAAGCGTCTATAGCGAGCCATATGCTTGTTGGCCACCCTTTTAACATAAATTATTTTTCTCTGGATTTTAGCGCCAACAGTCTATCACTCGCGTTTCGTGTCCCGATAAGTATTTCCGGCGGGGTCGAAATAATATTTTGCTCGTTTTCACTATTTGAAGTAGACATTTTTGGTAGTAATTAACCACACAGCAACAACTTTACCAAATATTTACGAAAAATGGCCGCACTTTCGATGCACACGCAGGTTCAACAAAGGCATAGGAAAGACCGGCTGTGTAGCCGAAGCATACTATATGATATTTAAGTTAATTTGTGTTTATAAATATGAAATGAAATGTTTATTTGTCATCTTAACCCTAAAATAATCTAATACTAGCAAACCAGTGAACCAAATGTTCACCAAAACCTGATTTCTCGAAAACCGGAAATGCTACGTTACTCAAATCCGGTTTGTAGTCTTATCAGACTATTCTTAACATATAACTTAAATATTCTCTTTATCTATCTCTTACGGTTTGGCCGCTGAAACAGCACCACAGACAGACGGACTTGTCTAATAGATAAGAGATTCGTAAAAATATTCAATGTCCTTAGATATAAACTTTTGCTGAAATATATAAAAGGAGGTTACAGCACTTGTACAGTAATATTTTACAGACAAGAATAAAAGTCAATTTAAGAGCAACTGCGTTGAAAAATATGTTCTATTTCTTTCAAAATAACTAGTAAAAGAAATATACATAAATAAACACAATGTTGCACATATCTCAGCCATTGCTATTTCCTAGTAAATAATGCAATAAAACAGTAAAATGTTTGTTTCATTCCAATAAATCATAATATAGATTTAGTTCATTATCTAAACTGCCATCGGCGCATACACAAGGGGAACGTTAAGAGAGATGTTCCAAAGATATTAACACTATGGTTACGACACTAACGCGTCCATTAAAGCAATTAACGACTGATTGAACGAAGCCCTTCCTAAATGTTCACTGTATTACCTACAAGCAAAGCTTTCACTTCTTCACTTTCCAAAAAATCTTAAAAAGTTATTTATTACCGAAACCTCTAATTACAAACTTGGTACAATTATTTCCCTTATAGAACCTAAGCATTTTACGAAACCTCATCGTGCGCTTGTTAATAACTAAAACAAAACCAGATGTTTTAAAACAGTTCAAGGGTGTGTACCCGAAACAAAACAAGTACCTACCTTTAAATTATTTAACGAACGCTGCACTCTAATAGGAAAGCCACGTGCCCGTTACATAAACAAACTTCGGCTAGCAAGGGAAGGCGTCAATATTAAAATGCGCACTGTCAAAAATAGACGCCTCTACAACAAAACATGGTGGCGCAGCCCAACATTATGGGGGAGACTAGACAAAGGCTCATAGACTCCGCTGGCTACATAGAACGCACTAGCGGCCCGCCCTTGCTTCGCTTCGGTGTAGAGCTGAAGTGTAGACTACAGTTTTTGTTCTCAGGCTTGTATTATATGACATTCATCTATGATTCTTCTTACCTGCATGCAAAGTCTCAGCCCGATCGGTTTAAAATTGACAAAGTTTCATACAAACTTTCATTCCCTATTTTATCCCCTTGCGGGTAGAATTGATCAAAAACCTTTCTTAGCGGATGCCTACGTCATAACATCTACCTGCATGCCAAATTTCAGCCCGATCCGTCCAGTGGTTTGGGCTGTGCGTTGATAGATCACTATGTCAGTCAGTCACCTTTGAGTTTTATATATATATAGATGGACGAGGATCGGAACGTAAGGCGCGCGTACACGATGCCTTGTGGGCGCCTCAAGTACTGCTGGAACGACCAAGTCGTCCAGGATCCACAAGAGGCTGTATAAAAAACGAGCAATGTCTCTGTCGATCTCATGTCTGCCGCCAAGATCCACCTCGGGTCGCTTGGCCAGCACAGTAAATAAGTAAAATAAAGCATGGTCTTGTCTGAAAGTAAAACAACTTTCGCAATGGTCAGTCTTAAAATGTTATAATCTTTAAATGTTCCGTGCTTCGCAAGCAACGTTAAGCCGTATGTCCCTGCTGCATCTGCAGTCATTAACATCCACCAATTCGCACCTGGTGTAAGTGGTGGGGCATGGCCCGCCCTTCCTATTCCATTTATAGGGAAGGGGGGACACGCCAAGCAGTGGGGACATTTATAAGCCGATAATGATGATGAAACAATGAATGTTGTCCAGGTAACAGCAGGAAGCGACTTTTGGCAACAAATTGGCTCCGTGCGCGCGTCACGCTCTTGTCGCTTCGCAAATACGTGTACGTGCGAGGTTTACGCCAATCTATTTTGTAAGGTGCCATATCCACTGCAAGCTATACTCGATGAAGATCGGTCGAGTGAAAAATAAGAATAAATATTTGGAAATATTATAGCATAAGTTTTAAACTAATAGCCACTGTGGAGTAATATTATAGATATACCAAAGCTGATGTCAACTAAAACATTTCAACGACAAACAAACTCTTATTCAAGCAACAACTCAACAAACATTTCAGTCGTACATGTAAAAATTACGCGACTGAAAATGCTATAAACATCACATTGAAGTAATCTAGCGTGTATAACTATCTTTACGCGACAATCATGTAAAAGCGAAATATATCCCTCTTATACAACTTTAAGTCAATTTGGACACTTTTATAAGACTACTTAATGACTGGATGGATGCCCCTATTATTGTATAAAAATTTAGTAACATTACAACTACAGCCATTCCCATTTTCGCAGCAACATAATTGTACGTCGTTAAAATGAATAGAAAAAAAAGAGGGCAAATGTAAAAAAAAATGTGCTTTAAAATTTTTGTGATATGTTTTATTAGTTTAATACGATACTAGAGTATAATAATAACTTTTAACCTTCTTCCTCTGCTTGTAAACTAGACAACAGTCCGTCTTTATCATGCTTTACAAGGAATGAAAAGGACAGACTGATTCAACTTTACAAATAGCAAACACGAATAGCCGAGTGAAGTGCGGTTGTGACGCTTTACTAGATTTACAAAAAAAATATTAAGGCATGAAACTATTAACTAAAATAAACGTTATATAGCATCAGTGTTGACAGGGCAGATTTTCAAAAATCGGGAGGCGTTACAAGCAAAAACAGTAGATGTATGGAAAGAGCTGCAATGCAAAAAAAAAGCACAAACCCTGAATCTGAATACTGTTGCGTTTATTTTGCAATAGTAGGTATTGAAAATTACAGTGTTGATTTCAAAATTTTAGCGTAATAAAGTAGATAGATGCTGTATCAATTTGGTAGTTTAATACATGCACAATAGCTAAGGTTACATTCTTAACGGTGGAAACGGAAAAGCACAGCAAAGGCACGGTAATATTATCTATACAGTATTGTGACTTGGCCCTGTCCTTGAAAATAAATGCCTACACCGAACGCTGCGTTGGCACGCGGTAGGGCCGCCAGCCTACAGTATTTTATGTAGTTATGTTTTTAACGCGAGTGTAGGTAGATTATTCGTTTGTTTCTTTTTTCATCCTAACCACTTATTTATATATTATTCCAGATATTTTGCCCGATGGAAACCGAAATACCTAAATATTAGAAACAAATAACATACTAGTAGATAGGTATGTAAAAAATATTCTCTAAAGGTAAGACACCTTTCCAATATTTCAGGTAATTTAAAAAATGATATCTCTGGGTGTGTTATTGAAGAGTTCAAGCAACCAAAAACAGTAATTGTGCTGTTGTACGATATTGATCGTCGTTTGTTCTTATCCATACTAAATTATGTAGGTATCTACTTAATTAAATCAAATATTTACAATACAAAACGCATGTTTAAGCACGGCTAACTGCATAAAAAACAATTCAGACCGTTCGGTCGTCGTTACGGCGCGGCGGCGCATTCGCGACTGGGTGCCCGCCGAGAGCACATCGAACTCGAGTGGCGTAGGTATGACTCGCTTTCCGACCGTTTGTATGAAGATAGAATACTGTATGATATTATTACCGTGGCAAAGGTGACGACACTCGAGTGACGCATTTTACGTTACGTTTCAGGCAATTTAAAGAGAGAAAATCGTATTCAAAGAAAAAACAGTAGATTCATGTAGAGAAATAGAAGAACAGGAGACATTTGAGAAAAACAGGAGATTCCATGTAAAATCGGGAGACCTGGCAACCCTGTATAGCATTCGCTTCGCTCGCAGTGTACCGTGGTTGTGCAATGTTCCGCCACGCCAGTAAAACTATTACAGTCCATCATTAATATGAAATTCCTGTCTGTACCTATTTCAGAACTTCAAAGCTTGCTGCAAGGACAGTGGCAAACAAACAACGTATATAATGTAAAGGTAGAATGTTATGAATAAAAACTTTTTAACAAAAAAATTTAACCGCCGAAAAGTAAAAATAATAAGATTTTTTTATTATTTTTAGTCAATTTAATATTTGGAGACGGTGCCATGCCAACCCAAGTAGTAACCAAGAACTCAGATCTATCAGACATGCATGGCACCGACTCGAAATATTAATTTGACTAAAGATAAAAAAAAGTCTTATTATTTTTACTGTTCGGCGGTTCAATTTTTTTGTTGAAAAGTTTTTATTTTATCTTATTTTGTGACTAAAATTTTGTACTTGGTATCAAAATCTGTGAGTAAACATTCATCCCTATTTTACCACCCTTAGGGTAGGATTTTTGATTCTAAATTCATATGGGACCACATGGTTGACAAACAAGCATATGGCCCGCCTGATGGTAACCGGCCACCATACTTAAAGACGCTTGGGATACAAAAATATATACTCGGGCCATTGCGTAACCTAACCCAATCCCCTAACCCTTGGAGTCCTGGAACCTTTCTCATCGAAAAAAACACAACATCACCACCAGTGGAGACTACTTCCCCAAACGGGCGCTCCAATTCGAGCTGAAAATCCGCTTTTCCCTACTCCCCTTAAAGATACTGTAAAACATTGGTTTTAAAAGGTAACCTACCCATAGCCTAAATGCAAGTTAAAAGGTGATAAGTTACCTACTGTGGAGATTATATATTTTTCGACGCATCGAATAACCGAAGAGCTCGACGGCGCAAGTGATTAGCACGATCGGCTGCGATCGTTGAAGTAAAGCAACTTTCGCAGTGGTCGATCATTGGATGGGTGACCAAAAATGTACTATGTCTAGCTCCTCAATGCTTCGGAAGTAGAAATCGTTAGCACCGACCAATCCGCACTGGGCCCGCGTGTTAAGTCTTTGCCCAATCTCCCTATTCCATCTATAGGGAAGGCCTGTGCCCCAGCAGCACATTAATAGGATGTTTTTTTTTATAGATAGGTCTGACAAATGACTCCACCCCACCTGACGTTAAGTGACGGTGAAGTCCAGACGGGAAGATAGCTGATACAGCAGTTCTACCTGCCACACCAGTCATCCTCACCGAGCCGGCCTGCATGTTGCTTCTTCACGCCTCTTTTAAAGAATCCCGGGTTATAAGAGGGAAGGAACACGTGAGCGGGCAGAACATTCCATTGATGATGATGATGATCCGAAAACCTTACATTGAGATAGTTGCTTTTAACTTCACCATCATCGCCATGAGTTATTAAAATAAATTGTATATAACAAGACACGACCTATTATATGTTATTCGATATCCGCAATGCGAATGCGGTATTGATTAGTTGCGCAACTGCACGAGAATTCTTGCACACACTGCGTCACTGGGATTTCACACAAAACCTTTTAATATTTAGGATGTCGACAAT